CGGCCACTCACAGTGGCTGCTAGCCGCTCACGCTGGCTGCTGACTACACACGGGTAGCCCATGGCAACCCACTTCAGCAGGGGCTGCAGCCCACGCCGTCGCCAACGACTCACGGCAGCCCAGCTCCAGGTTGAGCTGTGTTCAGCATCTTAGCTGTGGAGGGCAGCGTCACTGGCCCTCATATGTGGGATCCAAACTGGGGCCCTTTGGCATCCCAAGCCAGCTCTTAACCAATGCGCCACTCAGCTGGCCCCCAATTTGTACTTCTTAATCCCTTACCCTATTTCACTCACACCCAACTGGCAACCATCAATATATTCTCTGTATCTATGAGTTTGTTTCTGTTTTGTTTATTTGTTTATTTTGTTCTTAGGTTCTCTATATAAGCAAAATCACATTGCACCTGTCTTTTACTGTCTGATATACTTCACTCAGCACAATATCCTTCAGGTCCACCCATGCTGCCACAGATGGCAAAACACCATTCCTTTCCCTGGCTGAGAAATATTCCATTGTGTGTGTGTATATATATATATATATATATATATATATATATATATATATATATATGTATATATATATATATATACACCACCTCCCCTTTATCCATTGACAGACACCCAGGCTGACTCCACATCTTGGCCATTGTAAACAATGCTGCAGTGAACATATGGATGCATATGTACCCTCAAAGTAGGGTTTTGGGGTTTCTTTGGATAAATACCCAGAAATGGAATTACTGGGTCATTCTTTGTCTCTTGGTATAGCCTTTGTTTTAAAGTCTATTCTATCTGTATAAGTATTGTTACCACAGCTTTTTTTTTTCATTTCCATTTTCATGAAATATCTTTTTTCCATCCCTTTACTTTCAGTCTTTGTGTGTCTTTTGATCTGAAGTGAGTCTCTTGTTGGCACCCTATCTTTTGATTAGAGCATTTAATTGATACAATTAAAGCAATTGTTGATAGATATGTACTTATTGCCATTCTGTTATTCATCTTATTGATCTTTCTTTCTTTTTTCTTTCTTTCTTTCATCTTTCTTTCTGTCTTTCATCTTAAAAATGTCCCTTTAACATTCCTTGTAATACTCCTTTGGTGGTGATAAATTCCTTTAGCTTTTTCTTGTCTGAGAAGCTCTATCTGTCCTTCGATTCAAAATGATAGCTTTGCTGGGTAGATAATCTTGGTTGTAGATCCTTGCTTTTAATCATTTTGAATATGTCCTGCCATTCCCTTTTGGACAGTAAAGTTTCTGTTGAGAAATCAGCTGACAGTCTTATGGGAACTTCCTGATAGATAACTAACTGCTTTTCTTTTACTGCTTTTAAGATTCTCTCTTTGTCTTTAACCTTTGTCATTTCAATTATGATTTGTCTTGGTGTGGGCCTCCTTGGGTTCATCTTGTTTGGGATTCTCTGTGCTTTCTGGACTTGTGTATTTATTTCCTTCTTCAGGTTAGGGAAGTTTTCAGCCATTATTTCCTTAAATAGATTTTTAATTTCTTGTACTTTCTCTTCTCCTTCTGGTACCCCTATGATGTGAATGTTGGTATGCTTGATGTTGTCCCAGAGGCCCCAAAACGATTCTCATTTTTTTTGGAGTCTTTCTTATTTTTGCTGTTCTGACTGGGTGTTTTCTACTACCTTATCTTTTAAATTGCTGATTTGGTCCTCTGCTTCATCTGTTGATTCCCTCTAATGTTTTCTTCATTTCAGTTACTATATTCATCATTTCTGACTTGTTCTTTTTTGTGTTTCCTATCTCTTTTCTGAAGTTCTCCCTGACATCACTGAGCATCTGTATAACCAGTGTATTGAACTCTGCATCTGGTAGACTGCTTGTCTCCATTTTGTTTAGTTCATTTTCTGGAGTTTTGTTCTGTTCTTTTATTTGGGAAATGTTTCTTTGTCTCCCCATTTTGGCTGCTTCCTTGTTTTTGTTTCTATGTAGGGCTGCTATGGCTCCCAGTCTTAATAGAGTAGCCTTATGTAGTAGGTGTCCTGTGGACCCAGTGGGATAGCCTCCCTGGTTATTACCAGAGCCGAGTGCTGCAGGTGTGTCCCTTGTGTGGGTTGTGTGTGCCCTCCTGTTGTAGTTGATTGCTGTTTTTACATCACTGGGAGAAACTGACTCTCAGGCTGATTGGCTGTGAGGACTGGCTGTGACTACAGTGGAGGAGATGTTATGCAGGGGCTGCCCATACAGAGCAGAGTTTGCTTTAGCAGGGCCCTGGTGCCACCCAGTCAGCCCTTTGTGTGTGTCATCCTAGGAGGTGGCCAGCTGATGCTCTGGCTTGTCCAAAGCTGGCCACTGGGTCCACCAGCCCTGAAGCCTCCTGGAAGGGAGCCCACTGCAGGCCAAGTTCAGCTGCAGCCTGTGTCCTGCCCAGGGCCACCTGGCATGAGCCACAAAGCAATCCAGAGATGGCCATTGCCCACACTGTGTTTGGAGGTGCCTTGAGAGGCCAAGCTGCAAACCAAGGCCAGCTGTCACTAGTGCCAAGCTTAAGGCTGCTCAGCTAGAGGTATGGGGCATGCTGAAGCCAGATGATGCTTATTTGGGTTTTGTGAACCTTTGAGAGAATTTAGAAAAGTCTGTAGCATGATCTAAGGTACACTGTTTATATGGAAAAGCCACTGGAAGTGGATTGGGTGTGCCCAAAAGTTGGGTAGGGCATGGTCTCAGGGAATCACTAGGGTAGGGCAGATGAAAGGTGATAGCCAGTTTCATGGAGACTCAGATATGGCATCGGCCTGTGTCTGCACACAGGGATTAGGAGGGCTAAACAATGATACAGTGGCTTTCACGAGCTCCTCTGGCTGGGAGAAAGCTGTCGCTTCAGCCCTCATCCTATAGCTATAAAATTCAGTTCCTCCCATATCTCCCTGGAGACTTTTGAGCTGCTGTCCCAGCACTGGAACTCAGAGCAAGTCTGTCAGTAAGTCAGCCCATGTGTGGTCCCTTTAAGAGGGGTGTCTGTGAGTGCAGCCACCTTCTGTCTCATTCTAGTGGGTGCTGCATTCTACCACTTTTCTGGACTAGTGTTGACATGAACTGACATAGCTATTGTACCCACTTTTGTAGAACCCTGGTGAGTCACCATCTTCTGTTTTGATAAATTCCCATTTTCCTTTTTAGAGTTTATAATAATAACAACAACAATAGCAATACTAACAGAGCCTGAGAACCTCTTTCTCAGATGAGATGACAGCAATAAACTCGAGACATAACAGGGCCTCTGCCATCCACTGGGCCTTGGCCCTGCCCCGCTTCCCGCCCACAGGACTGCCATTTGCCCAGGCCGTTGGCATCAGTCCTGCAGGAGCAACGGCACCTCACGCCCAACTTGGTTCCAGTATGAATTGTATGGCTCTGACTCAGTCTCTCTTGCTCAATGGTTTTCCTCATCTTAGTCAATATATACAAACTATTCTGTCAGCTCAGTGTAATTGGACACAAAATATGCCTTATTTTAGTAAATGAAGCCATACTTGTGATGGATATTTAATGTTTGGCATAAATCCACGTGTGCATTAACATAGCTCCAAACTAGCTCTTTTAGTGGTACATACAAAATGCAGATAATAATTATTTTAAGTGTCATCCTGTGACAGAAATCTTGCAGGGAGTTGGAGGTGGGCAGAGGATTTTGAAACTCATTGGAATTACAAATCCAAGAGAAGGGAAAAACAAGAACCAAGAAGAGAAAAAAACAACACACTGTTACCATCTCTCTCTCTCTCTCTCTCTCTGTCTCTCTCTCTCTCTCTCTGTCTCTCTTTCTCTCTTTCTCTCTCTCCCTCTCTCTCTTTCCCTTCTCTTCCCCTCCCTTTCAGAAGTCTAGCATTTCCCTGGATATCCTCTACTTTTTCTTATTCAAAACAATGTTTCAAATCACCCCAAGAATCACCTGTAGCAAAATGCATTCCATTATTATCTCTTATATCACTGTACATTTTAAGAGTTATTTCAGGTTTGAAAAACAGTCAGGGACCCTGAATATGGGAACATCCAGATCCACTTCATTCATTCATTTATTTCTTCTTTTAATTTATTCCTCATAAGAAAGTAGAAAAAGGAAAAAAAAATCCCAAGTTCATTTCTCTGTGCGGTGATACCTTTTGGTTATCAGTAAATTGCGTCTTAAAAGCAAGAGTCCTTCTTCCGCTGATGAGAACAGAGAATGAAATACTATGCCAATTTAAAATGCTATTACCTGCCTGCAGTCCCAATATCTTTTCCCTTAGATGACACGGTTCCTACATAGAAAGCTTTCTACAAAAAAAAATGCCCTGCTATTTTCTTCATCACACAGGGAGTTTCATTAGAGAAATACACCTAGGGGAGGTGCATTTGACAACAAAAGACAAATGATGTCAGTGAGGAGCTCTCGATGAGGTGGTCTGCAATTTATGTGTTCAGCAGAGAACCTGTCCCTAGTCAGGAGGTGGGCTTGGCGTCTGCTTCAAGAGCGGCATATGGCTGGTGTGAAGCACTGTCTATATGCACACAGGTGTGCCTCTGCGTATTCAGGACAGAAGGGTGTGAATGCAGCAACTGTACCTGAACCTGGCATTGTTCTGCGTGTGCTCCCTCCTGCTGAAATGTGACAGAAGTGGGGAATGCAAACCGGTTCTACACAATGTTTATCGTAGCCCATTCCTCCTCGTCCCCGCCCTCCTTGTCAAGGCCACATTCCCAGAGGTAAAACTCTCTTTGCTTGCCCTTGCTTTGTGTCCATGTGGCCAACTGTGATGGCTACTCTTAACTTTTTTTCATCAGAAACGAGTACAGTCAGAAAGCTGAAAATAGCAGTTTTTGACATAGCCATGCATAGTCTTTCAAAATACCTAAAAAGCATACTCTTTTTTCTCCCTCATCCAAGTTAGGGCACAGGTTATTATACTTTTTCTCACACCATAAAAGGCACAGGTGAGTCTTAACTTAACTCCTCAGGAATTCAAACATTCTCTCCAACTTTATTTTAAATTTACTTACCGTCATCATGCCATCCAAAAGGCCGGTCTCGGGCCTGGGCGGGGCCTGCAGCCTCTCCATTGACCACTTCTCTATGATGGATGACACGTGAGGGTTATCAATATTCAGCAGCCGAAACCCAGTCATGTTTACGCCGCTATACCTGTAGAGTTCCAGGTCTAAAGCAAACAAGTCCTGTGCAGTAGTCAAAATGATAAACGTAGAAAGAGTTAATGTTTTCAGTGCTTTATATGAAGAAGGGAATTCATGATTGCAGAAGCAGCAAGTAGATTAAAGCAAAAATGGCAGTCATTATCACATTGATTCTATAAGAGTACATTTTCCATTATTTTTCATTTGCATGGTGCCTGAGAAAGTCTGAGGCAGTAAGCAGTTTTCATTTGTCATCCATTTTTGGCAATACTGTTAGAGTTTGGATAAAGCAAGAAGAGAAATTTGGGTGCCAATAATTAGCATGCCCTTGGGCACAGGATATGACATTCTGAGAAGCTAGAGAATTCTGTTTCTAGGATATAGTCACTGGGGAATGGGAAGGACTCTGTGTGTCCATTTGGTTCAATGCTTTTATTTTTTAAATAAGGAAACTGAGGTTGTGAGTGGTGGTGTGAATAGTCCCCAAATGATCTGCTTGTCAGTGGCAGTACCACCGTTCTTCATCACATCTTGCTGCCTCAGGTCTTTCAAAGGAGGTGAAATTTAGAAATTGCATATGCATTTGACAGAAAGATCATGCCCAGCAGGAAATAATACCATCCCCTGACTTGCTGAAAATAACCCATGCCCCATACAATGAGGCATGAACAATGCTCCCTGGGTACAAGCTCAGAAGAAAAACCAGAAGATTCTCTTCAGAGAATAAGCTGGCGCACACGATTGTGTGGATGTGAGTATCTTAACAGCAGAACTTGTTCCCTTTGCAGCAATGTTTCAGGAAAAAGCATTTAACCCACACCAGTGTCTTCCATTCCAGATGAGGCTGAATGTAAACCAGAAGCTTTTAAGATGATTCACATTTGAAACAGACTTAATGTGATCACTTCAACTTTTTTTTATAGGAAAAGGTTAAACTCTAAAATATGTGATTAACAATATATCACACATTTAAGTATAAACCAAACTTTCAAACAAGTAACACTTAACAGAAAAAATTAAAACTTTCATACAACTTTCCTCAGTGTACGTGACTGGCTTATGAAAGTCATGACAAGAGAGGACATTGTCCCTGAGGATGGCGGTTATGAAAGCGAAGCAGTTTCAGAGCATTCCAGGATTTGCAGAAGGTGCATACAAATGTTTTCTTTTGAATAACTCTTCTCTAAACCACCACCCTTTCCCCAGACAACTTTGGATTAGATGGTAGAACTATAAGAGATCAGACCTGTGCTCCTGGTTCAGTATCAGAAAAAAATCTACAGCCTTTTAAAATGTTACATTGTTTTCTTCCCCTTGCACTAAGTAGTTTTCTTTTTTCTTTAAGTTTTGTTAATACTCATGTGTAAGAGTGGTAAGAATATAAATGCGAAGCAGGGCAGAATTCAGATGAAACAAAAAAAATAGATATGCTTAAAGAGGCAAATCTGAAGAATAAAACACAAGAATGAAGGATAGCCTTTAGTCCACTCAGTGAAAGGAAGGAAAGTTACTCAAGCCATAGGAGGTCTGACAGGAACCTCCAGAAAGTCTGTGAATCCCTCATGGATTAAACAGTACATAAATGCAATATGCTAAAATGAATATACTAAGCACGTGCAAAATTAGGTTGACCTACAAATTGAGGTTTCTATACAATAGAGAACATAGACAGTCTCAAGTTTGATTTTCAACTTCCCCTTGTGACGAAGGATGAGGAAGCCGTGAATAGGAGTGCAACTTGTTCATTCTTCAAGGGTCTCCATTGAAGACCAGGCTTCTCAGGCTTCACTATTCACATTCTTTCTCAGATTTCAACAAAAGCGGCTCTTAGGGGTGTGTACAGCTGGGGATGATAGAAAGCTCTGAGGCATGTGGTCATTTCTCATTGAGTAAAACCCAGGTGTTTATGATGATGGGGGAGGGTTATATTCGTGAGCAGAGTAACACACTTTTCCGATTTCCTTTGACTGTTCTGACCGGGGACCTGATCAAGATGTCAATGAGGGAGGGAAGACCATGGAAAGAGAAATGTTCTTTCAGGAACTTCTGTCCTTTGCCCCATACCCCCAAGCTCAGGAGCAGTAATGATCTTGACAACTACCCCAAAGCCTTTGCCGTATGGTGTCCTCTGCAGCCCTCATGCTGTCAGACATACCTGAGGCAGGAGTGGCATTGACTCCTCCTGTCAGTTTTGGTCCTTGTTCCAAATTTCTTTGATTTCCCTTACTCACCGGCCTACCTTGTCAGTTTTGTTTGGTAACTCTTACTGAGTCTCCCAGAATCAGGGTAGAAATTAGTCAGCACATCTTTACAGATTAGAAAAGGAGGTTGGCTCTGTGTTTTCTTCTCATGTAAGAAAGTAGAGTATGTGTGTGAGGGAGTGTGGTTTATGTGTGTGTCTGAGTTTTGAAATTGAGAGCTATCACATCATTTTGATGTGTTAACTTTCCTAAATCATTCTCCTGTGATCTGATAATCTCTCAGAATTTAAGGTGCTATAGTTACTTTTGAATTTCTCAAGCTTATTGCCATGCTTTCTTCTTATGGTGCCAAATGTTCAATGTCCGAAGCATCTCCCAAGCTGCTCTTCTCGATGGTCTTCAAACCACCTGACAGGTGACCCCTGCCTAACCCAGCTGTCTATCTACTAGACACAGGCAGGTAAATCATGTCAGGCCACAGAATGCCATGATACACTTCGGCGTGCCTTCAATTGTATTTAAACAAAATGTACATGATGCTTCTTTATGAATAGTTTGTACTTTGACAGCTTCTATTTAATGGAAGTTTCATAAGTTTCATTTTAACCCCTTTCTGGATGTACATGCATGGAGGGGGAGAGAGAGAGAGAGAGAGAGAGAGAGAGAGAGAGAGAGAGAGGAAAAAACACTTCTTTTGAGCATTGCTGGATTTGGAGGATTCTTAGAAGAGCAAGGCAAATCTCTATGACAGTATCCTGCCTTCGATATTGATGGGGATGACTTTAAAATAGGTGGACTTGTTTCCTATCACACAGAATGCATTTCTACTGGATGTACTTACCAGGGTGGTGAAAAAGTAGTGATAGTACTCAGTCATCATCCCCATGAACAGAATCTGCAAAAGGCAAATAAGGGGAAAGAATCAGAAACAGGGTTAGAAGAAACATAATGAGAAGGGTGACTGCAATAGCTTGGGAACATAGAACAGCAGGGGGCTTTGGAAATCCACAGGCTCAGTAGGTCAGAAACCTGGGATGAATCAATGGCTGATGTGGAACTGTGATGCCAGCCATTGACATCTATCCAATGCTCTTTCATTCTACTGTATTTGGCTTATAGCAAGTAATCAGACTGATGATCAAATTTAAAAATCATTTGTGCTTAACAAAGTTTATATTTGGAGTTGTTCATAACAGCACAGGGTTTTGCCTTCTCCACTGCCTAGGTTTCTGAGTAATCCCATGCTGAGATATATAGTTTATTGATCTCTTTAGCTTTACCATTTATCATAATGCCTCAGAGTAGAACTCATTAAATGTTGACTTAGCAATGCTGGTATGTAGATGTTCTTAAATGAAGATTTATAAATAAGTGTATCTCTGAAACCTTTCTCTCTACCCCTTTCCCATCTCATCTTACAGATAAGTAGGGAGAAAAAAGGATTTGTTTGTAGGGAAAAGATGAGGATGACTCTTATACAAATTTCACACTGCCTCTTAATTCTGATTCTCAGTTGTCTACTTGGGATCTTGTTAGTTTTAGACATTCTGTGGTGTTGCTTTTATTTGGTGAGGGATGGGAGAAAAATGAATGCTAAGGTGGGTGGAAAGGACAAGGGTTCTCAGTAGAGGTAGTTTATTAAACTGTTATCTAGCTTTGGGATTTCTGGAAATGGTGCCTACTGAGAAGAAGAAGAAGTTACAAATGGTCTGGAGATAAACTATGGTTTCTAAGTCTTCTAAATCAAGAGCATCACCTTCCTCAGGGCAGGCTGTGAAAAAGACAATCTGGGTACTGTCTTTTGGTCTTTATGTAGAAATGAATGGAAAATACTCAGAAATCAAACATCCACGGCAGTTTTCCCCACAACTCTGATAAATTCTGGATGCAAATGTAAATCCCCTCTGGAAGCTTTAGAATCAGATATTCTTAGACTCCATCACAGAGACAGCCTGAATTAGAATTCCTGAGAGGGAGGCCTGGATTTTTGTACATCAAAGCAATAGTTGAGAATCGCTGCATTATGATAACATGTCTATTTGCATTACAGAACAAAGACTTTCATTACTTCAAGTGAAACGATGCATTGAAAAGGTATGGGAAGAGGCAGCACTAGTAATAAGAGGTACTGGAAGGTGCCTCAAATATGTAAACTAAAATGATTTTACATGAAAGGGGATAAAGGATAAAGAGGTTATTTGCTGATAGCATGGAACACACCAATACGACACTGCTTACGCCCTCTTTGTTAATTTGGAAGCCAGAGGAATATTTACTAAAACTGCAATGTCATGAAGATAAGACAAATGACAGGAAACTCTCCCTATGAATCATGAGCCCACAGCATGTATGTCACTCCTATGGTGATAACAAGGCTAGGCACACAAAAGGATTTTTAAAAGGGTAGAATTGCTTTAGGGCCATCAATAACATTTAAAGCCATGCATGGTGAGGTCTTGTTAGCTAGTTTCTTACATCATTGGAGCATAAAGAGCTAACCTGCTGGGGTCAGTCAGGAATTCAATTTTTCACTTTAGTCATTAGATAATGTCATTGCAGCCAAGATTACCTCTTGAAAGGGAACTGGGCAAGTTTTATGTCAAGATATAGACCTGTACACTGATGCTTAAAATACTGTTTCTGGAAGTAAAAAAGAAACATAAAGGCACCTGAGTTTTTCAGCTTTTCACTTGGGCTAATGTTTCTTTTTAAACTTCATTATGAAGGTGTTTGATCACCAATTGAGGGCAGATGGGTTTTGTTGTTGTTTTGTTGTTTTCTTTTGATATTGTTAAAGGGATACACACAACAAAAAGATCTAACATATGACATCAAAAACATAAAGTGTGGAGGGGGAGTAAAAATGTAGTCCTTTCTGAATATATTTGACCTTAAATGCTTATCAGCTTAAACTAGACTGCTATAGATACAGAATGATATACATAAACCTCACAGTAACCACAAACCAAAAGCCTACAAAAGATACACAAAAAATAAAGAGAAAGGAGCACAAACAAAACACTAAGGAAAATCAGCAAATCTCATGGGAGTAGGTCAATGGAAGAAAGGAGCAGAGAAGAACAACAACAACAACAACAACAATGAACAAAATGGTGGTAAGTACATACTTATCAATAATTGCTTTAAATATAAATGGATTATATGTTCCAATAAAAAGACATGGGGTGGCTGGCTAAGTTGAATATGATCTATCTAAATGCTGCTTACAAGAAACTCACTTCAAGTCAAAAGACATACAGACTGAAAATGAAGGGGTAGAAAAAAATATTTCGAGCAAATAGAAGTGAAAATAAAGCGGGGTTAGCAATGCTCATATCAGACAAAATAGACTTTACACCTAAAGAAAGTAGAAAAGGAAGAACAAACAGAACCCAAAGTAAATAGAAAAAGGAAATAATAAAAATCAGAGTGGAAAGAAATGAAGTAGAGATTTCAAAACAATAAAAAAGACCAATGAAGCTAAGAGCTGCTTCTTGAAAAAGATAAAATTGATAAAGCTTTAGCCAAACTCATCAAGAAATAAAGAGAGCCCATATAAATAAAATCATAAATGAAAGAGAAGTTACAACCCACACCATAGAAATACAGAGGATCAGTAACGAATACTACAGACAATTATATATATATGCCAACAAATTGGACAACCTAGAAGAAATGGATAAATCCTAGAAGCATAAACCTTCCAGGACTGAGGAAAAAAATAGAAAATCTAAACAGACTGAGAACTAGCAATAAAATTGAAGCAGTAATCAAAAAACTCCTAACAAACAAATGTCCAGGACCATATGGCATCATAGGTGAATAAAGTGTGTAATCGTTTTTTTGTTGTTTTTTTTAAGCAACCATTTAACTAATTATTTTTATTATAATACTTGGAGGCAAATATTCATTTGCCTCTTATTTAATGTTAGAAAAGAGTTATGAAGATGCAGTGAGTAAACAGTTAATAGGTCTACTTTTAATGCAAAAATAAGCTCTCTTTTGAGTCCTCCAGGTCACTTTTATTTAGTGTACTAGAAAAATTGATTGTGATTGTTCCTGATTTTCCTGCCTAGTGCCTGGGTCAGTGCCTTCTGATTCTGCCCTTGAATTTCTTGGACATGGAAATTAAGAAACAAGTATAGTCATGGATCATTGCCCTGTCAACCTTGATGACTATCTAGGACCCAGGTGCATAAAAAAGTTCCAGATAAGATTAAAGCCAAGAGCAACAAAGGTGGTGCTTTTTAAACAATTGTCTTTATAATGGTCTGTAGACTGGTTGGGACTGGAGCTCTGTCGTCAAATAGTACTATACTTTATAAATGAAAGAATTACATTCATGCAATGATTTTTTCTCTGTATGGTGATATTTCAACTAAAAGTTATTAAGGGATTAAGAAAATTTCTTAATGTCACATCAAAATAAATGTCAGTTTTTCAGATAAAAAGAAAAATCAATATATAGGGAATTTTCTAATAGTTCTTGCAAATCTGACTTTTTCCTAAGAAACACTACCTTCTTAGAATTTTGATATTGTACTTGTCTGCTAGACTGGCCAAGTGGCACTGACCTAGGCAGTATATACTTTTCCAAGGCAGTGTGGGCTACAAACAAGTCCTGGCTCTATTTAAATCATTTTTAATGGCATAAAAAAAAATCACATCACACACACACTGATATGTAATAACATGGCTGTCAATATTATTTGGATTGATGACATATTCTCTTAAATGGTTTCCACTAATGTGTTCTTTTAATAATGTTATTATTCCTAACATAATTATTCTCATTACATAATCCCTTGAAACCATTTCATTAACTTAGATTGATAGATGTAAAAAACCCAGCCCTTTCAATAATACTTTGTATCCATAATAGGGATAGTATTGAGTATCTTCTGCTCCTCTTGACTTTGGAAAACCCATAATAGGGGCATCGACACTTTCCCAACCTAAAGGACACATGATAGGATTGCATTTCCTGGCCTTTGAACTTGGGTGGGGCCATGTGCTTCTTTTGGCCAAGGAGGTGGGACAGGCACTTCAGAAATCTCACTCTCCTTGAAGGTAACTAAGCATGGTTAAACTGGGAGTTTTTTTTTTTCTTTTTAATAAACACAACTTTCTGCTTAATGCATACTACAAGTTATGTAAGCACTCTTGTTCATGACTTTGTTTTGATTGCTAAGGAATTGAGGGTCAAAATTACAGGTCCTCCAATAGCAACTAATCAAGAACATGTAGGGTATATATTCTATGTGTGCTAATGTCATTCGATTTTATAGTTTTGTAATCCAGTGTACCCCTTGGTACCACCCCCTCTTCCTTTTCAAAAATATTTATCACTTTGTTTCAAAATGTATTTTTTGAGGCTGCTTCAAGTCTTTGTATAATAAAGATATAACAAATCAATAAATAATCATGCTTGGAAGAAGCTGAACAATTTTTCCCCGTTAAAAGAGATGAATTACACATATTCTGATCTGGTGTAGCTGGGTTGGCCTCCAACAAAATACCATTCATAGTTAATCATACTCTATGTCCCTGAAGAATCAGTTATAAAAACTTAGAAGAGACTGTAAGGGTGAGTTTCATATGTCAATTTGACTGAGCCACTGGACGCTCAGATTAACCATTATTTCTGAGTGTGTCTGTGAGGGTGTTTCAGAATGCGATTAGCTTTTCTGGCCACTCAGTAAAGCTGGTGGCCCTGGCCAGTGTGGTAGGTGTCATTTAGTCCACTGAAGACCTGAATAGAACCAAAGGACAGAAGGAGGGATTCACCCCTTTTGCTTCCTGCCTGACTGGCTGTGCTGGGGCATATTTTTTTTCCTGCCATTGGACTGAGATTTTCACCATTGGCTCTTTCAGTTCTTAGACCTTCAGGCTTGG